TTACTATTTCACAGACGCACTCAGGTCGTTAAAGGTCCTTTCAGTGGGCAAATAGGATTTCAGACTGCTTGAAAGCTGCGAGCGACATCTGCCAGTCATAAAGCCTGTTCTCCATGTGTGCCCTGAGCCCCCGCTGCACTGACCACAGCATCAAAGAGAAAAGACCAAACTAAACCTCACAAACATCTGCTGGACACACCGGCATTCCTCCGACACGCCCTTTAACTGAAGTATAACCAAACTCCAGCTGCTGCATGAGACACTAAACATCAGAATTAAATCAATTAAGACATTGGATTTAAATGACAACACTGGAACACTGGACTCACAAAAAACAACACTGGACTCACTGACTTTAATTGTATGGATAAATACATTTACAGTACCCACTAAGATATTTCATAAACTAATCTAATAACTCCTGACTGCAGACTAATTGATTTTGGTTAAATTGTAACTGAATAAAATCTTTTATTTTAAATTATTTTATTGTTATTATTGTAAAATATTTTATTATTATTTTATTTCATTAATATTTAAAGAATATATTATCATTTTTTGTTAATACACAGTTAATTTGAACTAGATCAACAGGTGGAGAAAAGGTTAATGACTCAGTTTGTACAGACTGACAGCAGTGACACATTACAGTAATGAACACACACACTTACTTAGTTCACTAAACCAGATAAATACTTCAATACCATAGACACCGCTTCGGTTTAAAACTACAATTAACCGAACAATGCGTTTACTTCACATTACAGAAGGAAAATGGGTTTTAAATGAGAATTCTCATTATTTATAGGTAATTTTACGGTTTCAGCACATTCTGAATTAGAAGAATCATATTTAGCAAAATATGTGTATGTGTAATATTGTGCATGTTGAGCCCTTCTGCTATTAAACACACACAAGATGACTGACACAGTGTGTGTGTGTGTGTGTTGCCGTGGGCAGTGATTGATCTTCCCCTCGGCGCTGGCGTACAGTGAGAGGCGCAAAATACAGAGTCAGAGGTCAGAGGTCACCCGAGCTCTTGTCCGTCTCCCAGTGAGCGTATTTGTTCTCAGCATCTTCCTGCAGAGCATTCTGGGTCACAGATTACACCGTACAGTCACTAATGCTGTAATTCCTACATTCAAACACTCAGAACACCTTAGCAACCGCATTGCAACGCCCTGGCAACCACCCACAACACCCTAGCAACGTGGCAGTGAGTTTTGCAAGGGCAAATCAGAATTAATTTCTTCAGAGAATGTAAAACTAATTAAAATGCAATATAAACTGCATGAATTAAACAAATATTAATGAAACCACAGATTCATTAATGAGTGGTGGATTAATTGGACGCAGCAGCTGAGATATTGACATGATGTTCTCCGGTGGGAGACCAACAGCAATTCATGACGATTGCAGGATTTTGTGGCCTGTAGGACAAGTTTTCTGCTTTTTCTGTCTAAAATACTGACCGAATGATAAAATAAGGGCCGAACCTCTGGGTGTTTTAAACCAGCAAACCAGACCGGCTTTGAGCTGTTGATAGCCGCAAAAAATAAAGCTAAATAAATAAATAACAACAACAATTAAATAAAAAATCTGATAAATGCTTCACTTTGAGCTGTTGATATCTGAAAAAAAAAAAATGCAATAAAATGCTTGGCTTGACTGATGTCTGTGAAATAGAGCAAAATAATTGAATAAATATAATTAAAAAGAACAAGATTAAAAAACACCAAATATATATATATATATATTATATATATATCAACATTTTATATATGCAAAAACAACAAAATAATTTAATATATAAATTAAAAACAATATAAAAAAAAAATCTAAATTATTTTAATATTAACATTAGATATTTGTAAAATTAGCAAAATAACTGAAATAAATTAAAAACAATAAAATAAAAAAATCTATAAAATGCTTTTATCAACATTTGATTATCTGCAAAAATAAAATAATTGAATAAATGATAATAAAAAACAACAATTAAAATAAAAAAGCTAACATTTGATATCTGTAAAAGTAGCAAAATAACTGAATTAAAAACAACAATAAAATAAAAACTGCAAAAAAATTATTTTAATATCAACATTAACTATATGCAAAAATAGCAAAATAAATGACTAAATAACTCAAATGAAAACATCGGCATGCTTTTGATATCAACATTTGATATTTGCAAACAATTAACATATATTAATAATCCTAAATATAAATGCAAAATTAATTAAAAAATAAAATGAAACCAAATATAATTGCGATAAAATGTTTGATATCTGAAAAAAAAAAAAAATATATATATATAAATATATTGATTGAAATAGATATTGACATTATTTTCTCCGGTGAGAGATGAACAGTAATTAATGATCATTAGTGAAATTTTGGACTCCAAGATGAGCAGGAAATTTCACTGATTATCATTAATTACTGATGAATGTCAGTACATTCTGATCTGATCGGCTCTACAATCTTCATCATCATCATCATTCCCAGTCCTGCTAATTATCAGATGAATCTGAATGCTGTTGATTTCTCTCTGGGCTTCAGCGTGAGCTCGTATTTTCACACTTAACATGATGAATTCTCTGGCAGCGCTCATAATATTTCACACTGAGCGTTCGTGAAGACCTGCATCTGTTCTTACTGTCGTTCAGTGAATCTATGAACCGCTTTCTCCTGACCCTGAGAGGAATCAAATCTCCACAAAACGGCTGGAAAATAAAATCTTATTTATTCACTCTCAGAAATAACATTAGGCTGGACAGCAGACGGAAGTAAACCGATGCTCTCTATTAGAGCGAAAACCACTGAAGATCTGCTCACATTCAGAGACAAAACAAGCCTGAAAATCAAAACGCAGCGTCCCGATGGACTCCTTCACACATTTTCTGTCCTACAGGACAGTTTTTTCTGATGTCTAAAATATCTGCCGACTAATAAAATGAGCCCTAAACTTTAGAGTGTTTGAAATCAGTAAACCAGACTGGCTTTGAGATGCAAACAAACAGCAAAAAAAATAAATAAAATCAACAATAAAATACAACAACATTTTATATCTGCAAAAAATGATAAATTAATAAATAAATTAAAAACAACAACAAAACAATATTTCATATCTGAAAAAAGAATAGCTAAACAGACAAATAAAAACTATGAATTGTTATAAACTGTCTAACTTTGAGCTGGTATCTGCAAAAAAAATGAATTAATAAATGAATTAAAAACAACAACAAACACTGCAATAAAATGCTTGTGATATTTGCAAAATATATAAATAAAATAGAAAACAAGAACAAAATATTGTGACAAAATGTTTAACTTTGAGCCTTCAAAAAAGCTAAATAAATCAATCAAAATAACAAAAAATTGATAATAAAATAATTGTGATTAAATGTTTGACTTTAAACAAGTGACATCTTTAGGAATAAATAAATTAATTAATTGACTGAAAACAACAAAATAACATTTTGAGCATATGATATCTACAAAAAAATAGCTAAACTAATAAAATGAAAACAACAACAAAAAAAATTGCATTCAAATATTTTAAAAACTGCAATAAAATCGAGCAGTCGATATCTGCAAAAAGAGAAATAAATAAATATGTCTCACTTTGAGCTGTTATCTGTAAAAAATTGAAAAAAACAAAAAAAATGTAATTAAAACCATACTGTCAAAAAAATGTTAGTTCTGTAATATTCTGTGTCTAGAACAGTTGTGTATGACATGAGCAAGAGTGAATTAGTACTGCATCTCTGATACTAACACGTGTGAATGAAACAAACACCATGGGTGATTCTCACGTTTACCTTTATTAACACAATTACACAACAAGATTTATTATCCAGCAACAGCATTAAAGCACAGCTTGATATAGTGAATGTTGTACCGTTATTTCCCACACACACACACACACACACACACACACACACACACACGAGTCTTGAGCGTTTCACATCTAATCTACAGATAAAGCATTTGTATTTATGTCCATTTATACAACGATTCACGCCAGAGAGAGAGAGAGAGAGACAGACATAGAGAAAGAGAGAGAGAGACAGAGAGAGAGAGACAGACAGAGACAGAGACAGAGACAGAGAGAGAGAGAGAGAGAGACAGAGAGAGAGAGACAGACAGAGACAGAGACAGAGACAGAGAGAGAGAGAGAGAGAGACAGGAGAGAGAGAAAGACAGAGACAGAGACAGAGAGAGAGAAAGAAAGAGGGGGAAATAACTAATATATGCAGGGAAAAAAATCAATCATCCTATGATTAGTTTTGCGTCAGTTCACGGGACGTTCAAGGACTTTTCCATTAGTCTAAACACACACATAACCACGTCATGGGAAAAACAACAGATCATCATGCAGATGTTATTACGACTTTAGACGTCTTTAAACACTCGTTTTTCAGTCTTTTTCTGAGATCCTGTGAACGTGACACAGTAAACTATCATGGAGGGAAAGTGTTTTTTATTTTCTCAGATGTGTGAAGTGTCGACATGCTTAAACTCGCAGCTTTGCGATGATTCTCCAGACAAATGCGTTATATTCATCCCAAAATCACAAGACAAACTGAAGAAATTACATTCTGCGTAAAGAAAATATAGCCTATTTTAGAACCATTAAGAGTTAATTATGTTTAATTAATCATTATGTTTTTGTATTTTGATTACAGTTATTTTCAAGAAATAATTTTTAATAAACTATATTAACATTTATGCTGTTGTTAATTCTGTATCATTCATTTTATTTATTTATTTATTTATATGGTTTATTACTGCATTACTGTATGAGAATGATATTTATATTACAGTAATAATTTGGTCCTGGAAATGTGTTTGATTGTCACGAAAAATACAATGCAAAAAAGCTTAATAATCCTAAAATAGT